TGTAGCTCAGTGGTTGAACACCCCTGGATTCAATCCCCTGGTACTACCAAAAAAAAAAAAAAAAAAAGCAAAGACTTTTCCAAAACACGCTCTCTCTCTCTCTCTCTCTCTCTCTCTCTCTCTCTCTCTCTCTCTCTCTCTTTTAATACCAAGAACTGAACCCAGGGTCACTTTATCACTGAGCTATATCCCTAGTCCTTTTTATTTTTTTTATTTTCAGACAGGGCCTCAAACTTGCAATCCTCCTGCTTCAGCCTCCTGAGTTGCTGGAATTACAGGCAGGCACCACCACACCCAGCCTCCTGCTCCCATTTTTGAATACAGAAGTCTACTCCCAGCATGAGATACCTRGTCTAATCCCAAAGGCCAAGATTGTTCTGCTGAACCAGATGTAACTCTTACTTTCTTTTCTTTGCCTATCTATATACTCTTTTCTACCTCCAGCTCTTACTCATATTAACTATTCTGAATAACACAACCATCAGGCCTGCTGTTGGCAATCCTGTCCTTGTCTAGCCCAAGCCACAAACTTTTCTGGCCCTAACAGATGCCACTATAGAACATCTTTCTCCAAAATATGTTCTATTCTAATTTATTATGGATGACAGCATAATGCATTACAATTCATATTACACAGAGCACAATTTTATATATCTCTGGTTGTACATAAAGTAGAATCACACCATTCGTGTCTTCATACATGTACTTAGGGTAATGATGTCCATCTCATTCCACATCTTTCCTACCCCCATGCCCCCTCCCTTATCCACCCTCCCCTTTGCTCTATCTAGAGTTCGTCTAATCCTCCCATGCTTCCCCCACCAACCTCATTGTGAATCAGCCTCCTTATATCAGAGATAACATTCAGCATTTGGTTTTTTGGGATTGGCTAACTTCACTTAGCATTATTTTCTCCAACTCCATCCATTTACCTGAAAATGCCATGATTTTATTCTCTTTTATTGCTGAGTAATATTCCATTGTGTATATATACCAAATTATCTTTATCCATTCATCCACTGAAGGGCATCTAGGTTGGCTCCACAGTTTAGCTATTGTGAATTGTGCTGCTGTAAATATTGATGTAGCTGTGTCCCTGTAATATGCTGTGTTTAAGTCCTTTTGGGTATAGACCAAGGTGTTGGAGAGCTGGGTCAAATGGTAGTTCCATTCCCAGTTTGCCAAGGAATCTCCATATTACTTTCTATACAGAAATGAGCTCTAGACTTTGGGGATCTCCATGCTTTCCTGGGCATTTTCTGTTTGTTTCTCTTAAAGGTTAGGAGAAAACTGTGCAGAAAAAGTGGCTTACTTTTGTTATGTCTGTTAACATGAGGCTTGTACTGATAGTATCAACCCTTCTCTTCAGCTCCAGGAAGGATGCAGTGAATTCAGAGTCACATGGGACAAATTCAGAGTCAAAATGGGACAAATTACATCAAAGTAATTTGTMAAGTATTTCCCTTGTGCCTTATCTCAGGCACTGAGATAAGCACTTCATAATGCTGTGTGAATTTGAAATTGCCCTCATCACAGAGGGGCAGTACATGCAGCCCAGGCAGGTGGGATAGCTTTCTCAGGAACACAAGATAAGGCTGTAGCAGAGCCACAATGTGGATCCAAGAGGTCTAACTCCTGTGTTAACTTGTGCCTAGCAAAGCCACACCCTGTTACTAGCTTTTAGAAATGAGTTAGTGAGGGGCTGGAGCTGTAGTTCAGCGGTAGCACACTTGCCTGGCATGTGTGAGGCACTGGGTTCGATTCTCAGCACCACATATAAATAAATAAAAATAAGGATCTATCAACAATTTAAAAAAAAGAAATGAGTTAGTGAGCTGGGCATGCAGCTCAGTGGTAGAGCACATATTTAGCGAGAGAGAGAGAGAGAGAGAAAGCAATTTGCAAATTGTTATTAAAAAAAAAAAAAGGATATGTTGCCCACAGGGTCTTGGAAGCACCTGCACTGTGTTTTGCAGCTCCGGATAGTGACTGAAATGTTGACTGTACTTTAACTTGCAGGCCAAAGAAGCTATTATTAAAAGCTTTCAAACAATATTGGTTCGTCTTTAAAGACACATCTATAACCTACTTTAAAAATGCGGAACTTGAACAAGGAGAACCCATAGAAAAACTCAATCTTAGAGGTAAGAGCATCCCTTCACTCACAGTGGTTTGCAGATAGAAGGCAAGATTCCCACAGAATGCTCACGGTGTACTTCTGGAGGGACCTCTGATGTCACCATATTCCATGTGGCAGCTCCTCTTCCTGATGGAACGTGAACATTGGGTGTGGTCTAGTCAACATGGATATTCATATTCTGCTGCCCCTTCTTTCCGACTGTGTCCAGAGTCTGTGAAGTGGTGACAGTTGGTATCCATGAGACACTGTAAGATCCTGAAAAGCTTYCTAAGTTTAAGAACAGTCTGGGCTGGGGCTGGGGCTCAGTGGTTGTTCATCTGCTTAAAATGGAGACAGCATTAGGCTCAAGCCCCAGCCCCACGTCAATGCTGGGTGTGTGGCACATGCCTATAATTCCAGCAACTCAGAAGGCTGAGGCAGGAGGATGTCAGGTTTGAGGCAGTGTTGACAACTTATGGAGACCTTGTTTCAATTTTTTTWAAAAAATAAAAAGAACTGTGGATGGAGCTCAGTGGTTAAGCACCCCTGGGTTCAGTGGCCAGAACCAAAAATAAATAAATAAATAGATTTTTTAAAGCCAAGAACAGTCATGTATGATTCAATGTCTTGTCAGTGCCCATTCTAATCTCTGAAACCATATATTAATTGAAATATTTAATTAACCAGTGCACTTACCTCTCATCATGGTAGCAATCAGAGAATTACCTCTGCTTTGATTTCTTTTCAAGTCCATATCCATAATTGTTCCTAAGAGTTAGGATAGCCATCATCATCCAGAAAAAAAAAGAATGAATTCAGCTTTTTTTAATTTAAGAAAATCATTTTTCTTTATCCATGCTAATTCTTCATAAGTTTTATTTTGTTCTCCTCTAATTAATGGCATCACTTGCTCCTCCATGTTCAGAAGAGAACCAGATGTGAGGGGCTCACATTGAAAGCCTTGGTTTCAGATGCCATGCCTGATATTGATGCAACAGATTCCTCACAACTGAGTTTTGTCCCTGTCTTTTGTATTCAGGCTGTGAAGTTGCGCCAGACGTGAATGTAGCAGGCAGAAAATTTGGAATCAAGTTACTAATCCCAGTTGCTGATGGTATGAACGAAGTGTATTTGAGATGTGACCACGTAAGTAAAGCTACAAAACTCTTACCTCACTTTACCTTTGTTAAGCCTGTGAACAAAACATGTTTCTTGACTTATCCTAAATTGAAAAGATTATTAAGTTGAAAATGCATTTAATCATACCTAATCTACAAATATTCTAGCTTAGCCTACCTTAAATGTGTTCAGAACGCTTAGATTAGCCTATAGTTGGCAATATCATCAAGCACAAAGCCTATGTTATAGTAAAAAGCTAAATATCATATATATTTTATTGAATATTGTGCTAAAAGTGAAAAACAGATTGTTGTATGGTATGCTTTCACACCATCCTAAAATGGAAAATTCTTAGTTGAATTATACTAGATCAGGGAACATCTATCAGATGTTTTTCTCAAATAAGAGCACAATTGAGTCAGTCAGCTATTGTTTTGTAACGAAAATCACATCATAACAAAATCTCAGTGACATTCAAAAATAAACATTTGTTTCTGGAAGATCTGCAAGTTGGCTAGGAATCTGATCTTCTAGGCTGGTATCAGTTGGTCAGATGTGTTTTAAGCCACAAGCCTGGCTAGGCTTATCTCCTTACCAGGGGTTGAGCTGATATATGTATATTTTTTTATTCTGAGTCCCAGGCTGCCTGAAGGAAGCTCTTCTCATAGTGATGGGAAAAGTGCAAGAGGGCACCTGACAACATGGGTGGCCTCCTAAAGCTTGGACTTGAAATTGACTTACTGTAACTCCCACCCACATTCTATCAACCAAAGCAAATCACATGAGTGTGGGTGGAGGTCAAGGGATGGAAATATATTCAGTTTCAGGTGGGATGCACTATGCTGTTAGATGGCAAAGGGTATGGATACCAGGAGGTTGGAACTTGAGGCCAGTATCTCAATATACCACACCTACTATTGCTCTGAAGAATTSTGTTTAACTATACCTTTCAGCTGCTGGGGACCACACCTGTTCTCTCTCAAAGTGAAAAATGAGCTCAGACATTAAGGGACATTAGAAAAACTACCACTAACTGATTCAGATCCCATCCATGGCTCTGATTGCTATCTTGTGATTAGAATCTTTACTAAGGTTAGGCCAGGGACAAATAATGCAGGGAATGATTTTTCTTTTCATCGTTTTCTTTCTTCATAGAGATGAGACATAATATGAAAATAGCAATATGGGACTGGGCTTGGGGCTCAGTGGTAGAGCATTTGCCTATCACATGTGAGACACTGGGTTTGATTCTCAGCACCACATAAAAATAAATAAAGGTCCAACAACAACTAATAAAATATTTTTTAAAAAGGAGGAGGAGGAGAATAAAGAAAATAACAAGGCTCTCAGGGGAGGAGGAGGAGGAGGAGGAGGAAGAGGAGGAGGAGGAGGAGGAGGAGGAGGAGGAGAGGAGGAGGAAGAGGAAAATAGCAAGGCTCTCTGGTAGTTTGGACTTTCACCTGCCTGTGTGAAATTCAAGTTCCTGTCCTCTAGCCCCTTAGCATCTAGACAGTCAACACAGCTATTGCTGGGTGCTTTAGACGGTTAACAGCCACTCAGAAAGTGCCAATTCACATCTCTCCTTGTGCGGAGAGTGTTGGTTTGGGGTTATGGAGCCGAAGTTCTGTGTTTATAACAAGGTTGACTTTGGACTGGACTTGAACTTGTTTCTCAGCTCTCTGGCTTTATTGCAGGAGAATCAATATGCCCAATGGATGGCTGCCTGCATCTTGGCATCAAAGGGCAAAACCATGGCAGACAGCTCCTACCAGCCAGAGGTCCTCAACATCCTTTCGTTTCTGAGGATGAAAAACCGGAAGTCCTCAATTCAGTTGACTTCCAGTCTCGAAAGCATGGACATGAACCCAGAATGTTTTGTGTCACCTCGGTGTGCAAAAAAACACAAATCTAAGCAGGTACTGCTCATCTTGACTGGACATTCATTTGCATAAACTCTTTATGTTCTGAAGTAAAAAGAATTCTATCTGATTAGGGTCATTATCAGGAAAAAATAGGTTGATGGGGAAATTTGACTGTGTACTGGGTATTAGTTAGAAGCTGCTATGAAATTACTGTTACTTTTTTTTTTTTTTTTTTGGTACCAGGGATTGAAGCCAGAGGCACTTAACCACTGAGCCACATCTCCAGTCCTTTTTTAAATATATATTTTAAAGACAGGGTCTCTCTGAGTTTCTTAGGACCTTACTAAGTTGCTGAGGCTGGCTTTGAACTCGTGATCCTCATGCCTCAGCCCTAAGCTTCTGGGACTACACAGGTGTACACTACCACACTCAGCTAAATTACTGTTAATTTTATTAATAGGTTGATAGTTCCAGATTGAACTTAATTAGCAATAAAATGATTTAGTCCCTACAAATTGAAAATTAAAATTATGTTTCCAATAAGAGTAGATTAAAAGTTGGGCAGATGAGATGAGAGAAAGGGGAAATAAAGTTGACCAAATTATGCTGCRTGCATGTATGAATATATCACAGCGCATTCCAATTTTACATATAACTATAGTGCATCAATTAAAAAATAAACAAACAAATAGAAGGAAGGCCAGTAAAGTAGAGGAAGGGGCTCAAGGGGAGGGAGGAGGGAACAGAAGAGGATAGTGCTGGGGGTCGAAAATGGAGAAAACTATGTTGCATGCGTTTATGAAGATGTCCAAATGAACCCCACTATTATGTGTAACGACAATGCACTAGAAATGAAATAATTAAAAAATTGGACAGATGAGCTTATTGTCCATGGACACAGTGGAGACCCCAGAGAAGGGATGTAAAATTCTCCACCTGCATGAAAATTAGAAGCTTATTGGTTGGCTGATCTTAGTCCTCCTTCTCCCTAGTGATTTTTATATTTTCTAAGAAAAAGAAGGAGAAAGAGAGAGAAAGTGTGTGTGTGAGTGAATGAGACTGAACAGTCTCCGTGGATCTGCAGTTGGGCCTGGCATTTATTGTTGTCACTGGGAATCTGGAGGGGATGCTGACAGGCAGATGGGAATGCAGCAGAAGCTTGATGTCTCCTCTTTCTTCATAGCTGGCTGCGCGGATCATGGAAGCCCATCAGAACGTGGCCACGATGCCCCTGGTTGAAGCCAAGCTGCGGTTCATCCAGGCATGGCAGTCCCTACCTGAGTTCGGCCTCACCTACTACCTTGTCAGGTGATCACAGCGTTCACGTGCCTCTCTCCCTTTCCCTCCAGTGTTAGGTGGTGTTCTGGAAGCCCAGTGTATTCGCACTGAGAATGCGGAACTCTTATTTTAGAATGTTACCCTTTTACAGATGGCCCACATGTTTTCAAATGCTCATAAAAATCATCCGTGAACCAGAACCACCCACCACCCAAACTCAGCAAAATGTGGAAAAGGAAATGTTAAAACATTAAAAAGAGATGTTCCTTCTCTTTGGAGAATAACTACCTTTGTAAAACCAGAAGGAGAGAGACAGCTATTGATTTTATGAAATCTGGGATTCCTTTCTTGTCCGTCTCCTCACACCGTGTCTCATGTGTGGCTTTGCACAGTTTTCCAGTTTCCATACAGAGGCCCCTAAAAATCCTGTGTCTTAGGTTCACCCAGCCTTATCAAGTAGCAACCTTGTTCCTGCATCTGAAGTCCTGTAGGTGGTCCATCCATTGCCCTCGTGTATCTGACTAATGAGAACACTGGGCTATAGGGAAAAAGCTTAAGGGACTCGTCCAAGTTCATCTCCTAGGCAGGGGCAGGCCTTGGCCAAGAATCCAGTATCCTCATTGGTAATCTCCAGTGAGCATGATGGTTCTGCCTCACCATATAATAAATTATTTCCCAAAATGCATCCACAAGCATGCTTGGCAAATCAAATTTGATTTTTTTCATTTAATAAGAAAGGCTGGTGTTTAAGCAAAATTTGCATTTAATCCTGCAGGATAGTGTCACTTTCTCATTTTATAACTTGGGAATTGGAAGATTGGTTTGTATTTTTAAAGCATTGACTTATATGAAAATGTTTTTATTATTTCTTGGCTCTCTCCAAAGACCGTGTTTCTCCCATATCTGCTAGCAGGGAAGTTTACTCAAACATTTTTGTTCCCTGAAATACTTCCTTTAACTTCTATCCCTGATATTTGTCCCCCCCAAAAAAGCTACTCTTTCTTCTTTATTTACCTCAGCAAAAGAGCAAGGGAGGACAGAGTCGTACAGGACACCAATGTATATGCATGCATGTGTGTTAATACACACACACACACACACACACACACACACACACACCTCATCTATAATTCTATTTTATTTTTCTTCATTGGGGATTGAACCCAGGGGTTCTCTATTATTGAATTACATCTCGTGCCCTTTTCATTTTTTATTTTGAGACAGGGTCTCAATAAGTTGCTTAGGAACTTGCTGAGACTGGCCTTGACTTTCGATCCTCCTGCCTCAGCCTCCTGAATCGCTGGGATCATAGGCGTGCACTACTGCTCCTGTCCCCTCACCTATAATTCTACGAGTCAGCCCCACATAATGGAGAGAACATGGACACTTGAGACAAACASATCCAACTTCCAGTCCCACCTTTGCCCCTGCTAGCTCTGGGACCTCGGGCATTTCACTGATGCACTTGCTCGGTGGACATCCTGAACATGCATTGTTGAGAGAATCCCGTGAAACAGCCGGATAAATTGTGAAGTGCAGAGGGGCCCTGAACAATCTTCCAATGACCATTGCTCCTTTACACTGTTTCCGCCTTCACTTCCCTCCACCTGTAATGTCACCTTCAGCATCTGTTTATGGAGGTGAGGCTTTGAGGCAGCAGTCCCAGGCTGAGTAAAGATCTGCCTTTTCCCAGATCTGCAAGGACTAGAGCAGACCTCCCGGTGTAGGGTGGCAGGTGGCTGTAGGAATCTCCCCATGCCAAGAAACCTGGACCAGTGCTTCACAACTCCCTGGAGGCTGTAGAGCAACTCAAGGAAGAAAGAAGCAGGTGAAGCAAGAAGTGGGTCAATGCCAGGCAGGGTGGCGTGCATCTGTAATCCCAGCAGCTTGGGAGGCTGAGGTAGAGGATCGCAAGTGCAAGGCCAGCCTCAGCAACTTAGCGAGTTGTCTCAAGATAAAAAGTAAAAAGGTCTGTGGATGGATGTAGCTCAGTGGTAGGGTGCTCCTGGATTCTCACACACACCACAAAGAACAAGGGGGGGTGGTTATCGTGATATTAAGTATTAAGGTAGCAGAGTAAACAACATAAGGTGTGGGAATGATTCTAGAAAAGTAAACATTAAGAGCAACATGAAGACATTTAAAAAAAAAAAAAAAAGATGTGACAAGCTGTATGTGGTGACATGCAGGTGTCATTCCAGCTACTCGGGAGGCTAAGGAAGGAGGATTGCAAGTTCAAAGCCAAAATAAGCAACATAGTGAGACCCTGTCTCAAAACAAAAGTGGCAGGGAGTGTGGAAAGTGGCTTATTGAACTAGGATTTTTTTTCCTCATCTTACCATGTCCCGAACTCCTGATCTTTCCCTCTAAAACCTGCCCCCTCCTTTGCATTACTCTGCATTTCAGCCTATGGCAGACCTTCCCTAGAGAGGCACAGGCCAGGTCCCTTGGAGTCATTCTGACTCACTGTCTCTTTTGCACTGACATCCTGTCTACTGCAAATCCCCCTGGCCCGGCTTTTAAAACAAACACACTGTTGTGTCACTGGGGACCAGGTCCAGAGTGATCCTACCTGGTCTCCCCACCTACCCTTGTCCCTCAAGTTCTCAACTTAGCATCCCTACTGATCCTTTTAAAATCTGTGTCAAGCTTACACTTGACCAGCAGCTTAGGAGGCTGAGGCAGGAGAATCTTGAGTTCAAAGCCAGCCTCAGCAATTTATAGAGGCCCTACTAAGCAATTCAGTGAGACCCTGTCTCTTAAAAAAAAAAAAAATTAAAAAGGGGCTAAGGATGTGGCTCAATGGTTAAGCACTCCTGAGTTCAATCCCCAGTACCAAATAAACAAATAAATAAAATCTAGGTCAGACTATGTATTTTAGTCAGGTTTTTCACCATAGTGACCAAAAGACCTGACAAGAACAATTTTAGAAGGGGAAAAGTTTATTTAGGGGCTCTCAGTTTCAAAGGGCCGACTCCAGTACTCTGGGCCAGAGGCAAGGCAGTGCCGTGGTGGAAAGATGTGGCAGAGGAAAACAGCTCAGAACAGGTCAAACAGGAAACACAGAGCCCTGCTCACCAGGTACAAAATACAAACCCCTAAGGCATATCCATAGAGACAGGCCTCCTGCAGCCACACCCGACCTGTCCACACTTTCTCACTCAGTTAATCCATTCATGTGATTCACTGATTAGCTGAAGGCTCTCCTAACCCAATCATTTCGCCTCTACCCTTGTCTCACACGTGGGCTTCTGGGGGACAGCTCCTACGGAAACCATAACATTATGTCAAGTCTCTGCTCCAAACCACCTCACAGCTTCTGTTGCACTCAGAACAAACACACCAAATCCTGAAAATGGCCTGCAAGACCTTCGCTCTCTGACCTCCCATTTCCTCTCCCCCTCCTTCACTGTGCCAATCTCACGGGCCTCCTGCCAGGTTCTTGAGCATGAAAAAAGAATTTTTTTTAAAGTGCTTGGGCCCTCTGCTTGGAAAACTCTTTCCCCAGATATCCACGTGGATCACTCCCTCGGGGGCATCAGCTGTTCAATCCAATGTCATCTTCTCACCAAGACCTTCCCTGACCTTCTGTTTAAAATTATAACAACCGTGGGCTGGGGTTGTGGCTCAGCCGTAGAGTGCTCGCCTAACATGTGCGAGGCCCTGGGTTGGATCTCAGCACCACATAAAAAAATAAATAAATGATAACAACCTCATTCCCAGTAATCCCCGTCTGTATTCCATTTTCTTTCAAGATCTTATCTGGCATGTGTATATTTTATATACTCATGATTCTCATTCCCCACTATTCAGGAATATTCTCTCAGTGTAGTTTGCTTTCCAGAGCCTAGAAGGGTACCCAGAACACATACTTGGTGCTAACTTTGTATAAAATGATTCGACTCCCTCTTATTTTACTTTCCTCTGACATCAGTGTCACTTTTTAGTTATCTTCAGGATGGCTTTTATTATCTCCATCTTCCTAGTCCCCATTCCTTCCTATAAAAACATCATCCTGGGGCTGGGATTGTGGCTTAGTGGTTGAGTGCTTGCCTACCATGCATGAGGCACTGGGTTCGAGCCTCAGCACCACATAAATGGTCTCCACCATTTAGTTTTCGTGTCCACCTAAAACTAAAAAATAAATATTTAAAAAAGAAATCCTCCTCCTGAGCAAATCTCTCATTGCCCTTTCTTAAATCATTTAAAAATTATCATTCAGTCTTTAAGAAGTTGTATGTTGAATGACTAGTTGCTTTTATTAATTTTTTTTTTTTTTTCAGATTTAAAGGAAGCAAGAAAGATGACATTCTGGGAGTTTCCTATAATAGGTTGATTAGAATTGATGCAACCACCGGGATCCCTATTACGACATGGAGATTTACCAACATAAAACAGTGGAATGTCAACTGGGAAATCCGGCAGGTACAGTAAAGTTCCGGTGTTCAGTGTAAATGTGTGTTCCCTCAGAATCGCAAATTATTCAGATTTTTAAAAGGTGTTCTTCTATTTAGAACCAAGAAATCACAGGTATGTGGTAATTGTCTGTTAAAATAACCATACGTGGACTGGGGATATAACTCAGTTGGTAGAGTGCTTGCCTTGTATGCACAAGGCCCTGGGTTCAATCCCCAGCACCACAAAAAAATAAAATAAAATAACCACATGCAATTCTTGGCAGTTTCCCAACAAGTACAGGCCACATTTCTTAAATTACACTGCAAGATGGTTTAGTGTCTATGCAGACTTCCAACAGATAGATCTAAAACTGCAGAGCAGCTGGGTTAATTTCCATGGACTCAGCATAAGGGTTATATAAGATTTAGGCTAATCATTACCTAGCAGAAGCTACTTGAGACAGAAACACGATGCAAAATAAATCCAAAGAAGGCCTTGTCTCACTGGTTGCCAGGAGATGTAAATGGATTTGGATCCATACACTCAGTCGCCGTCTCTGAGAGCATAGCAGACCCACAGGGGAAAAACCCACTAGAGGAGCAAAAGAAATACAGAATGACTGAGAAAATATTAGCCTCTGCAATGGACCCTCAAACCCTCTGCCTGAATTATAACTTCTCATCAACTCCCATCCCAGGAACCACCTTCAGACCAAGCCTACATCATGGAAAAATTCTAGATGAAATTACAGGCACCTTAGTGTCCTGCTGATGTAGAACCATCTGATGTTGCTGACATAGTATCTGTCTCCCTCTTTCCTTCAGTATGGTCACTTGTCCAGCAGAAAATCATCATTATAGAGGAATAATAAAATACCCATTTTTTTTTATTAAGACCTCTAGATTATTCTCAGCAGTACTAGCAACCACCTGGGCATGCACGTGTAGAAGGAAGCCCAAGATAAGGAGACCTCTAAAATCTTCAATGCACTTAAGATCTCCTTGTGGAGAGGAAGGGTGTTAGCATACCGGTCTCCAGACCACCCAAAACCAATTATATCCATCTTTCTCGGAATGGGGCTGGGAATCACCATTTTGAAAGTTCCATGCATGATTCCAGTGGGAATTCTGTGGGAATAAAAACCAGTGAAGTCTCCAAGTCTTCTAGTGCTTGAAGTTTATGACTTTCAGCTGGGAAGAGCTAGGGGGCAGTAGCTATAGGAGATTCAAGCAGGCCTTCTATTTTCCACTGAAGAGTTTGCAAAACATCCTGCCCTCTACACAAGAGTGCTTGGGAAGTTCTTATATCTAAATGTGCAGATACCTAAGAGGGAAAATATGCCTGTGCTGGGAGATGTTTAACCCGGTGTAAATCAGTTGACACCACAAGGGGGCGCACAGAGCAAAGACATGTCAGTGTTAAGTGGAAGCGGTGGCTTTCTGTGCTCTTTTAGGGGAACATGCATCTGTCAGTCACTTCAGTATCCACCTCAGTGGTCCTCCACTCCAGGGCCCACCTCCAGTAAAGCCGCTTCTTTCTCACCCATCCTTGTCAGAATTTAAGTTTCTCCACGCCTCCCTCTTCCAGGTGATGATCGAGTTTGACCAAAACTTCCAGGTTGCATTTATGTGCCTGAGTGCGGATTGCAAGATTGTGCATGAGTACATCGGTGGCTACATTTTCTTGTCCACTCGCTCCAAGGACCAGAATGAAACGCTCGATGAAGACCTCTTTCACAAGTTGACAGGTGGTCAGGACTGAAGTGAAGCAGACCCTGCTGGGCCTACACAGACAGGTCCGGTCCTTCCTGCACCAGTGGGATCTGTGGCTTGTCCAGAGTGTAGATTCGAGGCTAACAGACAACATACCTTCACCGTCAAACACCCAGATCCTCGCCTCAATTTCAACATGCTGCCAGCATGTCTCTTTCCTTATGGTACCCTCTGCTACCAGCTGTAGAAGGGCCTTTCCTATTTCATGGGTGGGTGAGGGACAAGGTGCTACTCTTAGACTACTCTGGGGCCCAGCCAGCATGTGGCTATGGTTCCGTAACTTACACACATGCCATGTGATAACTCCACGTTGGCTTTATGTTTATCTGCTTCTTTGCTAAGTCAGCAAAAAGGGTAAAAATCATGTGTAATAGGATTCCTATTCCATAGACTCAGGTATGAAAGGAAATTTCCTTAATGAAATTAATTTTAACTTGCATCTTGTCAAAATGGCCTAGGGAACACACACACACACACACACACACACACACACACACACACACATTTTCCTTGGAGGTCAAAAAGTCGAGGGAGGAGGGGCAGAATTACCTAGTGGTACTGGTTGACAATTGGGGCTCAGAGCAATAGCCCTCAGTGTCATCCATCCACAGTGACATCTGCCAAAATAACCCACTGACCCATCTGATATTAATCTTGGTCAAAAATCCCATTTCATTCCTAGAGGTCCCTTAGATACATTAAAGTCCTTCTTGAAGACATGAATGACAGAAGGAGCTTGATGTCGCAGCTCTTTTTACTGTGGATTAGGCTTAGGAAGAACCATGAGTTCTGTTCATAAAAACCGCGTCCTGACAGCGAGATCCCAATGGGACTTCATCCCAGAWGGTCAGAAAGAGAAGGACAGACTTGTTCTCAAAGACCACCAAGTTCAAGGTGTGGATGAATGGCRAGCCTCGGAGCTGTTTGGCTGGACTGGACGGAAGGGAAGGGCTGTTCTTCCCGTTCCTCAGCGAGCTCCTGGATTTTGTGTCTGTGTTTATAGGATTTCTGGCCTTTTCCCTAAAGGCCTTTAGATTGGGTCAATCACCAGCCTACAATAGACTCCCKTTTTTCCTCTCTCTGCTTTGCAGTGTGACCTCCCTGCCTTGAGACTTGACCATGAGCCAATTAATAGCTGCCTGCCTGAATTTGTATCTTCTGTTTTGGTTTATTAAAGGTGGGTGGATTCTGAGAAAGTGAAAAASAAGACCACAGGTAAAGGGCAATATCAGAGACTGTTTTATTCTGTTTTTTATAAAATGTTCTCCCACTACACAAAGAACGTGAGTTGGAAGAATAAGACAACTGTTCAGGTTCCATCTTGCTGTTCTTTTGGGATGCACCCTCAGGGGTCCTGGCCAGAGCCCAGATGCCCACGAGCTTCAGCTGTTGCTCTATTTTCCAACAAAGTCATCTGAGAAGGGAGAGCTCAGCAATTCTGGGAKCCACACAGAGATGGCCTTGGCCAGGGACACCGTGGCCCTGAGCCAGAAGCTGCCTTCCTGAAATTCCTGTTGGCCTCTCCCTGGAGGTGTAGGCACATAAAACCTCCCAGGCACCGGCTGARTATCTGAAGACTAGCTTAAAGCCCAGAAGTGCTCTGTGACCAYGATTAATGACTTACTTTGGAATGCTTTATGTGGAAATGAATGCAAGGTGTCCTGTGTTGAACTTGATGTCCGCCCTTTGATGTCCTGGCTCTGTTGTTTGAGAAATGAGACAGGTCTGAGATTAGGGTGGACCTTACATTAAAATATCGTTCCTTGATTTCACTTTACCTGTTTGCTGTCAAGGAAAGCTCAGCCACATTATCAAAACTTTAGTACAGTCTTCTTCCTTAGCATACCATAGTTGGCTGTTCTCGCCATGAAAACACTCAAAGGAATTGACTGGGTTTGACACACTTTCTGTTACAGTTTGGAGGGACGCATTTCTTCTGTATTACACAGCAGCATTCCGAAGGAACAGACAAGTGTAACAAGAAACACTTAAATGATGTTGTTCYGATGAGCAAACTAAGGACTGATTTTATTGTTTTGTTTTTAATATTGGGTCCAAAAGGTCATCTGATGCCGGGTGCAGTGGCACAGGCCTATAATCCCAGTGGCTTGGGAGACTGAGACAAGAGAATCGCAAATTCAAAGCCAGTCTCAGCAACTGCAAGGCCCTAAGCAACTCAGTGAGACCCCATCTCTAAATAAAATACAAAATAGGGCTGGGGATGTGGCTCAGTGGTCGAGTGCCCCTGAGTTCAATCCCTGGTATCAAAAAAAAAAAAAAAAAAGTCATCTGTCTTTCAATACCATTTGCTATGATACTACCCTAAATGCGGGTTATTTTTTTATTATTTTGTATGACTTTTTAAAGTAAATGTTTGCATTGATTTGAATATAGTCCAGTTATGTCCAATCTAGTTAGTGTCTTTTAGAAGGTGAATGTTTTCTTTGTTATGAAAGAGGAATGCAACTTTCAGGGCCAACCTGCGCCTCTCCTCACCATTCCTGATTCCAGCTCATTCTCCCGGGGGTGTGGGGGGCAGACCATCACATGGGGCCTCAAAAGTCCATTTGAAACCCGCTGTGTAACTGCTGCCCTCCATTCTTTTCTCACTGACTCGACCACCAGATTTCCTGGTTTTTCTCCTGCCTTACCGTGGGCTCTCTTGTCTCTCTGTCCCTCTCTAGGTCTGCCTCTTTAAAAATAAATAAATAAATAAATAATCTCCAGAAAGCAAAGAAATAAATACCCAGGAGGAGAAAGGAAGAGCCAAAGGTCTCCAATTCTGCTGTGGAATATTGAGGGTACTTCTTCCTCTTAGGAATAGGAGGTTGCTAATGGGTAAATAGTCTGCACCTCTTTGTGCAGTTCTCACATTGGCCCAAAGAGGGTAAGAACAGCTCAGTTTTCTCATTTACAAAGGAGAATCCAGTCTCAGAAGGTGACGAAACTTGCCCAGGGTCACACAGCCAATGAACAATGGAACCAGGATCCAAAGCCAGATTGTGTCTTATCCCAGCAAACCCTCCCCTTCCCCCTTCAGCCCTGCTCAGCCTTGAAACACTCCCTTCCTATCTCTCCATCCCCAGTTCAGGGGCTCAGTGTTCCCACCTCAGGGTCACAATGGTGGAAAAAAGCCAGGGTACAGGGAAAGTAGCTGGCCACGGTTAATTGGGGGAGGTGGAGGCAGACCAGAAAGGTCTGATAGGCAGAGAAATGGGGTACGGAGAGAGTACTTTTTTTTTTTTTTTTTTTTTTTGATTCCGGGCAAGTTTCATGTTCAGTCCCAAGGCCCAAAAAGTAAAGAAAGGAAGAGTCTTTTTTCATTGGAAAAGTCATCTTTAAATCAGAGGCACTAGAGGTCAAAGCATTGTGTTTTCTGAAATTATGTAAAGATTGTTTTTAATTCACTAGAAAGATTTCCTTTTCACTTTTATATTCGATATTTCTGTATTCATTTTCATTGTTTTTCCCACATAAATGTGACTTTTCTGACTCCTCCCCTCCCGCTGTCACCCCAGAATCTCTCGGTGGGCAGAGAGATGGGGAAGCGTCCTTCTTTGCTATTTTGTCCCTCTTCCCCCTATTGATGCCTGTCTCCAAGTGGATGGAACCGTAGATGGAATATCTGGAGGTCAGCGCTGGGCTGTCATTTGTGTTAGGGTTTCTCTCCCTCTTTGGATTTGACACTGAAGCCATGTGGAAATATTGAGTGCCATGTGAAGGGGGAGGGGGGCTGGGTGTGGTGGCGGTAGCCTGTAATCCCAGAAGCTCGGGAGGCTGAGACAGGAGGATTGTGACTTCAAAGCCAGCTTCAGCAAAAGCGAGGCACCATGCAACTCAGTGAGACCCTGTCTCTAAATAAAACACAAAATAGGGCTGGTGATGTGGCTCAGTGGTCAAGTGCCCTGAGTTCAATCTCTGGTACCAAAAAAAAAAAAAAATGGGGGGTGAGGGATGGGGTGAGGATGGGGGGGAGGGAAATCATGGCTCCAGTTCTCTGTTCTCACAAATGCTCGTGATGGCCTTGCTGTCCCTGAGATGGGAAGTTCTCAGACTTCATTTGTGAGAATACTTTCTTGCTAACTGAAGGGTAGAACCCTCACAATTATGCCAAAACTGAGCCCAGAGTTCCAGGGAACCCAATTTGGAGGCCCCCAAAATACTTTCAGGAATGTCCTGACATTGGCCCAAACTTGGAATGTTRAATTGAAACTCCAGTGCAGTGGTTTGAATATGTAGGTTTGTCCCCACCAAAATTCATGTCAAGATTTATTGGTCATGCACACCTGCAATCCCAGCTCAGGAGGCTGAGGCAGGAGGATTGGAAGTTCAAAGCCAGCCTTGGCATCTTAACAAAGTCCTAAGGAACTTAGTGAGACCCTATCTCAAAATAAAAAGTAAAAAGGGCTGGGGATGTGGCTCAGTGGTTAAGCACCCCTGGGTTCAATCTCCAGTACCAAAAAATGAAAAATAAAAAGTTGTTGGCCAAAATAGTGGAAGTGAGGCATGTATGGCCTTTAAAAGGTGTTTAGAAGAATTAATGTAGTTCCTATAAGAGTTGGTTATTGGATAGGAAGGGCAGCAGAATAGAATACACAATATGATTGATGTATGTACATTCCATGTATGTATTATATATCAAAATGCATTCTACTGTCATGTATGACTAAAAAAATAAAGAAATAATTAAAAAAAAGAGTTAGTTATTGTGAGAGTGGGTTGTTAGCACGGGATCCCCCTTTTGTCCTCTCCTCTCTTTGCATGTACGCACTTGCCCTTGGTTTTCCTGCCATGCATGAAACAGCACAAGGTCTTCACCAAAGGCCTGGTAAATGTTGGCACCATATTCTTGGACTTCAAGAAATTTTAGCCTCTTTTCTTTTACCCTCTCTTTTTTACCTCTTTTCTTTATAGATGACCCTGTCTCAGGTAAATTGTTATAACAACAGAAGATGGAGGAAGGCACTTAGTTAGCTAAGAAGGGGCTGT